GCTGCCCCCCTGCAGTCCATGGAGGCCCACGGTGGAGCAGATCTCCACCTGTAGCCCATGGAGGACCCCACGCTGGAGCGGGTGGATGCCCAAAGGAAGAAGGCTGTGACCCCATGGGAAGCCTGCACCAGATCAGGTTCCTGGCAAGACTTTGTGGACCTGTGGGGGGAGGAGCCCACACTGAGGCACGTTTGCTGGCAGGACCTGTGGCCCTGCAGGGGACCCACACTGGAGCAGTCTGCTCCTGAGGGACTACACCCCTTGGGAGGGATGGACCCATGCTGGAGCAGTTCATGAAGAACTGTAGCCCGTGGGAAGGACTCACGTTGGAGAAGTTCATGGAGGACTGTCTCCCATGAGAGGGATCCCATGCTGGAGCAGGGGAGGAGTGTGAGAAGTCCTCCCCCTGAGGAGGAAGAAGTGGCAGAGACGTGTGATGAACTGACCCCCAGCCCTCCTTCCCATCCCCCGGCACTGCTGGGGGGAGTAGGTAGAGAAAACTGGGCGTGAAGTTGAGCCCAGGAAGAAGGGAGGGGTGGGGGGAAGGTGTTTTAATATTCATTGGGTTTTATCCTCTCCTTCTCTGATTTTGATTGGCAATAAATTAAATTAATTTCATCAAGCTGAGTCTGTTTTGCCCGTGATGGTAACTGGTGAATGATCTCTCCCTGTCCTTATCTCGACCCACGAGCCTCTTGGTCTACTTTTCTCACCCCTGTCCAGTTAAAAAGGGGAGTGGCACCTGGCATCCAGCCAGGGTCAAACCACCACACACTCTCAGTGCTAACGAGGCCTTGAAGCATTACCAAGTCCGATTCTGGAGGCCAAAAATAAGCTGTCAACCAATTGGAAAGTCCAAAGGAGAGCAAAAAGGACATTCTGATACCTCTCAAACATAGTCTTTGGGAGAACTTGCCTTGTTCAATCTCTAGGAAATACAGCTAAGGGCTGTACACATGTCTTCAAAGGAACTATGAAGAATGGAGTAAATTGTTTTCACTGGAGATGAGGGATACAATAGATTTAGATTGTACCTAGATGAAGCTTGAAGTGTTTACATCGCTTTGCATAACAGTATGATTTGTCACTTATTTTTTCAGTTGGACCTATTTTTAATGATCGATTTTATACAGAAAATTTTTACTAAAGCCAAGTTACAAAAGTAGACCTTAGGGTTGATTTTGCGGTTTCAGTGTATTTCCTACCTTATCAAAAAATTGAGGCAGCTTAAGCTGCAATGGGAGACATCTAGTGGGCTTTGCTAGTAAATAGATGTAGCTAATAAAGAACAGCTGCAGGCATTCTCTATGATATTAGATATTCTCTAGATATGATTAGGAACGCTTAGGGTTTGTAAATATTGGCGAGATTATTGAAACATTTCCAAGTTATTTTCATGCCACTTTATCTAACTTAATAGTTCCTTAATTGTAGAATAGAAACAAATTTTCAAATGCTTTCTACGGGTAGCTGACACTGAGAAGTTAGAGCTGTGGTCGCTGTCTCAGGCAGGGAAGAGGATGTGACTTCAGTTTCACAGGCATTTTTCATCAGTGGGATGTAGTAGTTTTTAAGGGTGCTTTTTGGCTTTCAGCTTTTTTTTTTTAATTTCTTCTTCAGTTTGCTGATTTCAGATTGTGGCAGTAAGCAGAAGCTGTAAGTGCTTGAGGTGCATGTTGAAATGCTTCCAGTCTAGTCATTTTATCTTTTAAGCTCCAGTGCTAATCAGGACTCTTGCTAAGGAGTTGCTCTGTTGTGTTCAGCTCCCAAAGAGATCCGTAACAACTTCAGTCACCGTTTGATTCAGCTCTTCAGCAAAGATTATCTAGCTTCTTAATCATTTTAGTCTTGTATCCAAAGCTTTATGCTGGTTTATTGTGCTGCTGACAAAAGGCTTGTTGTTTTTAATTTGCTGCTTAAATTAGTAAAGGCAGTCAAACTGTCTTGGAGGCATAAGTAGCTGAGAAGAAGTGAACCCTCTTGCGTGCTTCTTCCTAAATACTGTGACTGTGCTTTGGTATAGTGATTCTTAAACTTGTGCTGAATCAAAGATATTTTCCGAGTCTATTTGTGTTTCAAAATTGCTAACTAAAATTATTTTTTACAGAGAGTCTCGCTCTAATGGAGCCAATCTTGATGAGCCTTCTGAAAACTTAATGAGGGACAAAGGAGGGTTGGAAGTATCAAGAATGACTAATTTTGGAACTTTGAAGCAGGGGGAATCTAAAAGAATGATCATTTGGATAGAGTAAGCCTGTCTGTTCTAAGCTTGCTTTCTTTCCATCATTCCATAGTCTATAAACCTGCCTTGCATGCAGAAGCCTCTCATAGTTGAGCCTTGTGGTTCATGGTCTTCAAGTAACCGCTAAATGCTCTGGAACTAAAGAGAATTCTATATTGAATTTAATGTCTTTAGGATAGTCTTTTTATTGAGCATCTATCTTGCCAATAGTGCTCTGAGACTTCCCAGTCCTATGTCTCTTTTCAATCCTAATAAAATTAAAGTAAATGCTTTTACTTGTAAATATGTTTAATTTAAACTGCAGATACACTGTCAGAATCTTAAAACTAGAGGACTATTGCATACTCATGTATTAGAAGCAGAGCAGACTTTTTTCTTTTTTTTTTTTAACTTGAATGAGAGGCTCAAATGAAGTCGTACCTGAATACCCTCTATTTGTTGCTATGTGCTCTTTCCTAAGAGTTAGTTACCCAATGATAAATGTTAAGTAGCTTTTTTAAACACAGTATTTCTGTATGCTTCATATGGTAGTTGATATGACCTAGAAATATTAACAGGTAGCAGAGGTTCTAGTCCTCATGAGCTAGAAGCAGCAGTGCAATTTCTTTCTTATAGCTATTATGAAATAACAGTGAACTAACCTGCTACAGACGGTTGTATTTGTCTTCAGGTAGAATTAAGCTTCCCAAGAACACCAACTATGCATTTAATTATGTAATGAATTACATAACTACTTCTAGGAATAGAGGGAGTGTACCACAGTCCTTAATCAGCTGCAGATTAGCTGGATGGGTGAAAGACAAGCAATTCAGTTTTCAGATTCCTCAAAAATGTGAGAACAGTCCAGAAGCGTATCTGTCATCTTTTCCAATAAATCAAGAAAACCTCTCAAAAGCTGCAATTAATTCGTGTAACAACAGTGGAGGAACAACATATGAGTCATTGAATAATACCGCCTTTATGAAGAATGGAGTCATTCCAGGTACAGTGAAATGTTAACATTTGGATGCTGGTTAACTCCTCAGAAGACCTGTAGGTTTGTCTGAGAAGACTTGCCTATGCTAGCAATAGCAATTGTGGTGACAATTTATTATAATCTGTTTACTACAGAAGGAATTAATTCTCGGGATACAAATTTATCAAGGACAAAAGAAAACTTTTCCTTGGTGAAAGATGAAAATCTGCATAATGGAGAAAATGAACAAGGAGAAGATGTGGAACAACCAATAAAGCGTGTCAATATCACTGGAGAAATTGTCATACCACCAGGTGGAAGGACATTTGTAGTGGTCATATGCACAGCTGCGTAAGTATTTCTTCCCACTGATACATCTGACTGATACAATGAGAACAAGACAGAAAAATTGTCTTAACAGTTCCCTTATGCTGGGCACAACTAGTTCTCTTTGGTGTAGGGCAAAGTAAGCCAGTACATATTAGCAAATGATGTAGAAACATATGTTAGACCTTGAAAGTAGTTAGCATTTTAATGCTTGATTCTGAGTTTTGTCAAAAGAAAATGGTAGTAGTAAATGAAGACATACAGTGGGAGTAGATAACTTCTCTAAAAAAGACACAGTAAAGTGAAGATAATGCCTACAGCTGGCTATATTCTTTGCAGGAAACCCATTGCTCCATGAGCACTAGGGCTAATGCAGATTTCCTGAGAATTTTTGTGTTATGTCTGATATGTTTCTTCCAGTCTCAGTACCCTCATGTCATATTCATGTTCATACATGCCTTGATCTCAGGCTTCCCTATCATGTGATATTAAATGCAGGTTATGCGTTCTGAAACAAAAAAGCAAAAAGCTTTCTTCCTTGAAAGTGTAATTTATAGAGAAAGTGGTTTGCAGATCTTGGAAAACCCTTGAGAAACAAAAATACTTTGCTGTACAAAACATTTCATGGGTTTAGTTAAAAATAAAAAGTGTCTTTGTGTGAGCTCTTTCAGAATGAAAGTAGGAACCTCATGCTGGAAAGCTTACTTTTATGTACTTTTCAGTTACTTCCAGCTGTAGCTCTACAAATGCTGTGTACCACAACCATTGATTCTTACAATCATAATTTAAAAGTTGGGCAGGGGAAAACAAGGTCAAATTGTTTCATTCATCAGAGTAGCACTGCATTAACTGTCACACTACTTCTGTTACCATTTTAAATAGAGAGGCAAGGGGTAGAAATCTTCTTAGGAGGATGATTCAGCTGCAGTTTGAAAGATAAGCTGCAGGCATGGCCTGCCTTTGTGGAAAAAGATGTGTAGAAAGAACAACTTATATTTCACCGTAGAGCTGTAAATACCACAAAGTCTGAGAATCTTCTAATAATACAGAACAATCCACACAGAACTCCATGGGAGGCTGCAGCGCGAGTGTAACAAGTGCTTGCTGGCCACTTAAGAGGCCATACAGACTGCAAATCTAGACCGTAAGTCTGGATAGTGCAGTGTCTGCACTGAGTTCCTGTATCAGAGAAAACCAGGCTATAGCTCTAACCTGAACAGGTAGTGTTAGTTGGCATGAAAAAGTGGTATTCCTACCAAAGAGGAATCCCTCTGGGATGCTTTTGTTTCAGGCACATATTAACAGTGTTGGAATGTGTAGTTAGTGCTGAGGAGAGAATTGGGCTCTGGGTTGTGCTGAGATGAGTTCATTAAGGGATTTTTGAGCAGATGGTATGTGTTAGATCTTTTGTCTTAGGTTCGTTAGAAATCAATCTGAGGAAACTATTCCCTCTGATCTTTTCCCCTCTGTCACTCCCCAAGCACCACTTAAACATATAAAGTGCATTTTTCAGAAATAAAACATCTTTCTTTTTTTCTCCACTTGATGTGTTTACAGTTAGGGTTCAGTTCTGAGTAGCCTTAAGCAAGGTGGAGCAAAGCTTCCCTAACAGTGATGTGCTTCAGGTTCCTCTGATGGAAATGTTTGGCTAATGTTTTTCAGAAACAATAATTCCAAGATATTCCTTGTGGTAAAAGTATTAATTCTGCACCTAGTATATTGATGGGAGGGATTTTGCTCTTCACCCAAGCTCTTGATGAAATTGGGACTTTGGGGGGTTTTTTTCTAATTATTTATGATACCCGCATTAAACTCAGAGCGGGGAGTAAGTGGAGGAATTACCGTAAGTTAGCAGTTCTCATATGTTACTGAAATGAAAATGTACAATTTTATTTTAAAAAAACACAGCTGAGGAAAATAAAGTGTGAAAATGATTGTTTTTAAGAACATATCTTCTGCTTACTTGAAGAAATCCTGGGTACAGTAAAGAACTCCTGTTGCTCGGTTTTTCTGACTTTACTGTTGGACGCTATATTGAAGCCACTGTAACAAATGATGAAGAATTACTAATAGCACCTGTGGAACCATTTTCTCCAAGAAAGCCTAAAGTTATTCCAGAACCTCAGCCAAGGAAAATAACAGTGGTTGCCCCTAAGAACAGAAGGTACTGTGAATTAGAGCGAAAAATAACCGTTGCCTAATACTGCTCTATTTGGTATTGCTGTATCTGTTCTGTAATGGTTACCAAACAAAAGTGAAATTGGGAGAGTCTGTACATGTTTATATATGTATGTTGTAAACAAGATAATTGTGGGTATTACCGATAGGTAGTTTTAGTAATAAACTGCTTGATTTCTTTGTAGTTTGTTGAACAGCTCTTTCTACTATATAGTATGGTGATAAACAAGATAAACACTGTTGCATAGTAATCTACAAGTAACAATTGTGTTATTAAGAACAAAGGTGGAAAATCAGAAATAGTTTCTTAACTCCTCAAGCAACTTTGAAATCAATATCTAATGTTTTCCATCTTTCATTCGGAACTTTTCCTTTTGTGAGTAAGCTTCCATTACACTTACAGTATTTGCTTAGTTATAAAAATATCCCTAAATTGAAAAAGGAGATGCACAATGTTTTCAAATAACCTGTAACTTGAACACTTACCTTTCTTCCCAGTATAGCAAGCTTCTCAATTGTCACTTTGAAGGAATCATAGGGTCTGTCATGTGTCAGTGTGTGATTTGGTTGTATAGCTTCAATGATGTGGCATGTTAATTAGTGGGTTTTTTTACATATGTAATTTGAGAAAGATAAATGATATGTCATACATTTTTTGTTTTAGAAATCACAGAAAGCTCTTGCCAAGCTTTCTCCCGCACTATACCATACCAGATGAGTTAAGAAAATGTGTGGAACAGAAGTTAGACATACTGATGTTTCAGCCTCTCCTAGCAGAGGTATGCAAGTATAGGTTTATATAAGAAAATATATTTTATGTAAGTGTGTTTGTTCAAGCTGGCCTTAATTTAGCAAAAATGTGTAGTCCTTAGCGTAATATAAGATTATGTAATACTGTTATGAAGTAGACTTAAGACTTTAGTCTGTGTCCCGTAACTTCCGTGGGTTTCAGTGTGTCACAGAATCAAAGTTTACAAGAGCACAAAAGGGTAAACGTGAAAAACTTAAAAGCAGAAGTATACTGGGGCAGGGGGGATATTACAGAAGCTGCACAAAGATTCCTTTTCACTCTCACTTTCTAGGTATCATCAGAAAGGAGATTTTGGGGTGTCAGAACAGTAGTCCAGCCATTGTTTCATAACAAATGAAAGCAGAAGTTCTTAAGTTCCTGCAGTAACAGAGGATTTGTTCTTGGTTGTTCAAAACTTTTTTTTTTTTAAAATCCTCAAATTTAATTCACTATGACTTGTTCAAATACTTCCCGCAAGTATAGCGATTTCAGAATACATTAAAAATAAAAAAACAACTGAAGTCTAACAAGAATATTACAGTGATTCCTTTTCCAAAACTTTGTCCTGATTTGTGGTAGAACATTGCTGCAATTCACTTTTTTCCCCACCCCCTAACTTTCTAAGTACTTATAAACTGAGGGGCTGATACTTAATTTTTCACAAATGTAAAAGGCTATGTTGTCTGCTTTCTAAACAGCTCACACAAAACCTGAGGTCACAGCATTAAGGTAGCAGGTTAGTGATCCCCTCTCAAAAAGATAAAACTCTCTAGTATTTGAAATATTTGTATACTGAAAGCCTGCCATTAGTGATAACCTTTTTTTTTTTCTTTTTTACCACACCTTAAATTCTGTCTGGTACTGGTGACTGTTTTAAGTCTGCTCCAGAAAGCACTGCTTGTTTGCCTTGTATTTGAGTGAGAAGATACCAGATAGAAAGCATTCTGTGCTATCAGTCATTGTTTAGATAGAGCTATGTGCTGTTGGAGAATACCTCTTCAGTGAGATGCATTAAGCTCTGAGGGAGAAAGTTCACAGTCTTTCAGCTTGCCATAAGTTGTATCATCATCAGCCAGGGCCAACACTGACATGACTCCCTCTCTTCACCCTTCGCTGCCCAGAGTACCTAGATGTTATGCATTGTGGGATTGCTGAGCATAGAAATCAGTTTGTAGGACTGCCCCTGAATTCAGATGTTGAAACTGCCATTGCAGTAGGGAGAGACTTGGTTGACTGTTCAGCTGACTGGCTGTTGTATCTGAGCCCCATTGACTATACTAATTCTGCTTTGACTACTGGGGAGTTTAAAATTTGTGTATAGATACATGTATTTAGGTGCCTTACTTGGCAACCATTTGCTGTGCAGTCTGTCGTAAGAGGTGTTTCGTATGTTAAGAATAGTGGGTTCCATATCGTAGTGTAGAAGTTACAACAATAATGTGTACTGTTCTGTTTTTCAGCATCTTAATCTAGATAATTATAAAGCAAACTTTTCTACTCTCTTGTGGCTTGAAGAGATCCATGCAGAAATGGAGATAAAAGACTTTAACATGAGTGGGGTTACTTTGAAAAGGAGTGGGAACTTGTTAGTGTTGGAAGTGCCAGGAGTGGAAGAGGGCAGACCTCACCTGATTGCAGGTAGTAATTCATGTGAGATAAAGCCAAATAGCATGTTGACCAATATTTTCAGTGCAATACAAACTCCATTGCTTATTTATTTAAAGAACTCATTCACATATTTGAACACAAGGTTATTCATCTAGGCAGCTAGACAGGTGAACTGCGCTGTTAGTGTCAGTGTGAGTCTTGCGGTGGCTGCTGTCTGAAGCAGCGTTGCATGTGTCTGTTTTTATGCATGTTCCAATACTTCAGGATTTTTCATGTACAAAAATTAGTGGGGCTTTCAGCAAAAATAAACTGTGCAATGTAGTAATTAAAAAAGACAACAGGTTTATCAAAAGCAAAAGCTGGGGAAGTAGTTAAAATTTAATTCAGAATCTCAAATATATAATATACAAGATACTGTTTCCAGGAGGTGTTGTCTGTTGGTGTCAATATTAAATGCCTTTTTAAAAAGTAGTATACAACTTCATATGACATTTCAGAACAGGTACTCATGAATACAGCAAGTTTGCTGAAGTTAGTTAGCATGTTTTACCCTGCAAATTCCTAGTTTAACTATGCAGAAGAGGAAGAAATTAAGCACTGCAGTAAGAATTTTACTATTCCTTGTAACCGTATGTTGCCTTTTGACTTTGTTTACAATTAGGTGATAAGGTGATACTGAAAAGTCGGGTCTACTCTGAGCATATAATAGAGTACGTTGCCTATATTACTGAGGTAAGCAAGGTATATCTCCTGTTAAAAATACTGTGATCCTCAAGTTTCAGAGGGGAAGCTGAAAGTTCATGGAATTACAGACTAGTTTAGCCTGACTTTTGAGAAGCTAGATTTGTTTTATCTACATTCTGAGTGGTGATTTTGTATTTTTACTGTCTGTCTTGAAGATGTCAGCTTCCATGTTCTTTCTAGATTATAATCTTTACCTACTCTGAAAGCACTCATAACATAATCTAGTTATGTGATCTGTTGACAGCAGGTAAATCTAAGTGTTCTTTTTGGAGGTGATGAGGGGGTTCAGTGCTTTCAGAGATGCTTCTTTGTGTTTAAAATACTAAACCTTCATCACTAAACTGACTTTTTTATCCTTGCAAACAGATATGTAATGGGGATGTTATGCTGAAATGTAATGAAGACTTTGAACAGGCTTACAACTTGGAACCCATGGATGTGGAGTTTGTTCATTGCAGGTATTTTTTTGTTTCCAAAAACTGCATTCAGTGATTCCTCTAATAAAGTGACTTAAAATATACGTGATTCTCAATTGATTGTTTAGGAGGATACAAATAGGAGGACATCGTTAGGATCTTGCAGATTCTTTCACCTCTTTTTTTGGTAAAAGACTGCAACTGTAGTCACAATGTAAAAAGAATTCTTGTCTTAAGTCTCTCTAAATGATCACACCAATGCCAGGCAGTGAAATGGTGGGGGGACTGAGGTGGGGTGGTTTGGGGTTTGTTTTTTCTGTTTTTTTAAGAAAAAAATATGGCTGTAAAACTATGCAAAAAAGAAAAAAATGCTGATATTAACCACCCACTCACTTTTGTTTTATTCCTGGTATGTTACTATCTATACAGAGTTCCTTAATCTTCTTTGTAAAATCAGCTTTGTGGAGAATTTCCTTGAAAGACTAAGTCTCGAATACCAGGCCATTGTTGTCTCACTGAAGAGCTAGAAAATATATGTATCAGTAGTATTCATAGCAAAGCTGTTGGTTTACACTTCTGCAGCGTGTTTCTTGACAGATGTGTCTTAAAAAAAAAAAACGGGGGTTTTATATAAAAACTCCTATTTTTATATGCACTGGTACATAGTAAAAAATACCGGATACCTTGTAGGTGTATGCTGTTGTAGTTTATGGAAATGTAAGCTTTTACTTAATATACAAATTTGTATTCTGGTAACAGGATTACTAGCAGACGATGTCACTTGGCAATTGAGCAAGCTATCTACCTGGGTGAAAAAGGTAAGCTTCAGTTGCCTTAAGCTGTCTAGAGGAGTTTGTTTATGGGGAGTCTTGTGCTTTATATTGCTTTGACATCAGGACATACTGAGAAGAATGCATTGTAATTTGTTCTTAGAGGAGTTTTTTGTATTTTTTTTTTTTTTTTTAAACAACTCTCTGAATCTAGAGTAGGTGTCATCAGAATGATTTCATTTGTTGGCCATCACAGGGAGAGGAGTGGAAACAAACTTATGTGAACTGTTTGAGCCAATAAGAACTGTAGAAATCATACTGTTGTAATAATAGCAAGTGAAATGGCAGTGTTTTGTGTTACCTTAGAATTCATTTAAAAGCACTGACTTTCTGTTTTATGGTTGAGTAGAATGATCTATATGAATTTCACGCAGGTCTTTCTTTAGCACTTTTATGTTAGTTCTCATAAACCAATTCTGGCAACTCAGAGCAAGCTGATATATCAGCAGCAATGTTAATCAGTGAAACGTGCAAAGTGTTTGTGTGGCTTTCAAATTCTCTACTGTCTCTTTCTTTTCTAAATGTGAAGTGTTGTTTCCGGAAAGGCTTGTCTTACAATCACCACAAACTATCAAGACCCAGAATACTACTGAGTATTGTGTTGCTGATGATGGCCTTGTACAATGTTCCCAGCAGGAAAGTAAGGTATCTATCCTGTAAATGTTCCTTAAAATGCTAAATACCATTCAGCTTGGTAACCGATATCTACTGTACAGCTATTGTTAGAAAGGAATTGCATAATGGAGTATCGAATCAAAGCTGTATTCTACTGCTTTTGAATGACAGAAGTTTTTGTCTGCTGCCTGGGGAAAGGGGATTTTGATAACTGATAACTACTAAGCTAACACTCCCATCTCAAATCTAAAGTGCTTACGAAAAAACTGTATGATTATAATTGGAATTGTCAGATTTGCCTTAGACTAGTTTACGTAGCTAACTGTTGAGTAGATACTTAAGTCCTGTCACTGTGGCAGGAAATAACTTTGTGATAGATGGTAATCATCCTGTTCTGAGTAGATTTACCCAGGTTTCTTAATTGCTAGTTAAATTATATGCAGAAAATCCATCCACAGCCTCTGCATAACCTGTGCTTCACCACCTTTCCACTCAAGATTTTTCCTAATTCCCAGTATGAATCTTCCACCTGCAGCTTGTGGATGTGGTCCATTGTTAAATCATATGTTGTGACTACAAAGAGGAGTTTGTCTCATTTTTTTTGTAACTCTTGATTTGAGCCATTGTGGGCTATTAGACAGCCTCTTCACCTCCTCGTGGCCAAACTAAAAAGCCAAGCTCTCTCAGACTCTCCAGTTCTTAACAAGAATATGATACTGGCTTGTATACAGTTCTAGCATCCGCAGTAGCCCAGGATCCTGAAGAGAGCCTAAGGATTGCTGCTCAGTCAGTGTATTCTTTGCCTATATTGGTTCACACAGTTACTCAGTCCCAGGTGTGGCACTTTCCACTTCTCCTTACTGAATTTCATGAGTTTTCTGTTGGCTCTGTTGCCAAGTTTCTCATGGTCCCTCTGAACTGAAGATGATGCACCATCAGGCGGTTGTGTTTTCTGCAGATTTGTCAAGAGTGTTATTTGGTCTCATCCTAGTCATTGGTGAAGATACTGAATAATGCTGGTCCCGACTACAACCCTGGCGTTCTTAGCTTTTGACCAGCTTCCAGCTGAATATCAGACTATTGATTAATGCTCTTTGAGCCTAGCAGTTCAGCCAATTTTCAACTCATCTAACTGTCTGTTGTTCTAGCTAATATGTCCTCAGGCTACAAGTAAGAATGATGTAGTAAGTAAACAGTTTAAAAAGCTTTGCTGAGGTCAAGGAGTATTACACCGACTTCTTTGCTTTTGTCCACATAATAGTCTCTTCATCGTAGAGGAAAATCAGGTTGGTCATGAAAGGTCTTCCCCTTGGTTTAGCCATGTTGACTATTCCTGGTCACCTTTTTTTCCAGTCACGTGAAAGACATGGAATCCAGAGCGATGTGCTTTATGATATTCTCAAGGTCTGGAGTGAAGCTGACAAGCTGTAGTTCCCCAGGTCCTCCTTAAATTGGAGCAATATTAGCATTTTTCCTGCTCTCAGAGACATATCCTGCCTTGTCATGATTATTTTTTTATTGTAGGTAATAGGCAGCAGTGTCCACAGTCGTATCAGCGTGGTGAATCACATCTACCCTATCCAGTGTCTCTAAGCAGTTTGTAGCATAGTCCTCCCCTTCTGTTACTTGTCCCTTTCCTTCCCATGGGACATTCTTTTCCTATTGTCCATCAATACATTTTCTTCTTTTATCCATCTGTGAGCCTCCATGATCCTTGAATTGTCTCTCTTCTACCACAACATTTGCTAATCCCTTCTTATTACTCTATTCTGCCACACTTTAGCTCAAGCTGTACTTTGGTCTATTTGACCTTCCTGATTTTGTCCAACTGTCCAATAAATGGTTTTATATTTTGCCTGTCTTTGTTTCTGCTTGTAATAAGCTTTTTATAAATTCATCAAGAAGCTACAAGCTTAGCTAAGCAGGCCTTCTGTTGAAATTCCCAGTGATCTTATGCAATGGGATGGTTTGTTTACAATGTCTCACTAAGCAACTTTTAGCTCTGCTGGGCACCTTTTTCCCCATGTGGTAGCTTCCCAGAGGATTTTGCCGGGTGATTTCTTACAGAAACTGAGACTTGTTCTAGAAGGGCCAGAGTTCTGACTCCACTGCTTTACTGTCTTAGCCTTCTTCCAATCTTGCAACCTCTGCAAGAAAAGCTGGTACATGGTTACATGTTCTTTCCTGTATGTGAGCAGCAAGTCCAATAGAGTGTTCTGTCTGATCAATATGTCAGCCATTTATGTTAGGAAGCTGTCACCACCTCAGTCTAGAAATCCTGGACATTCTTATGCAATGGGATGGTTTGTTTACAATGTCTCATGGACATTTACTGGGTGAGTTGCAACAGGTGTGTGAATGATTGAAATCTCCAGGAAGCTGCACAGCCTGTGATCAGGACACTGATGCCAGTCATTTGTCAGACGCCTTATCCGTGTTGTCTTCTTTTTGGTGGGGATTTGTTACAGACCACCAGACAGTGTTGCTCTGATCCATCCTCCTGTGGTAACAACTCGGACACATCTCTGGTTTTGCAGTTAATAATGTGCAGTCAAGTTGCTCCTGCACATAAACCTAGAGCTGTGCTAGTGAGAGCAGCAGCACAGCTAGTTACTGTTCTGCAAGATGCCTGCTTCTGCTGGGGCTTTTCTGTTGGACTAGAAGGATGGTGGAGAACATCACCTGGACCCCTCATGCTTACCCCAGAGCTATATCATCCTCCCCTTGGTCTATTCAAGGTGTCACTAATACCACATGGGTAAGCAGCAAAGGGAGTAGTCAGAAGGACTAGATGAGCCTTGCAGTCTTTCCATGACATCCTGGCTCTGGGGAAGCAGCAAACATCTCTGGATGATACCTCTGTCCTGTACAGGAAGGAGTAATCAACCTCTAACGCTCATCACATCACTGGATTAGGATCAGTATTATTAAGATGATTGAAGCATCTGGTTCAGAACCTTGCAAACACCACATTCCCTACAAGCAGTTTTCTCCCATGCTGCAATCCGAAACAGGTATCATCTTGTTTAGTGGTATGGAATGCGAATGTTAGCTTTTGTGGAAGGAAACAAGTTATTTGGCCGTGGCCTCAAAATCTGAGCCTGCAAAGTATTAGTGAAAGAAATGTTTAACATATGCCAAACTTTTAGAAATCTTAAATTTAAGGTGGGAATTCCTACCACCTTCTTCTACTACTCTTATCTTTTGTCTTCACAGCAGACTCTATTTAATGGGATAATGCTATTTAATGGGAAAAATTAAAACCTAGCAACTTGAAAAGTGTTAGTGAAGATAGTTGCCTGTCATCTTAAAGTTATAAATGTATTTATTTTCACTTGCTGTTTTCAGGTCAAAGAACTGGCAAAATGCATGGCATCAAGGGAGATGAACATAACAGATGTGATGAGAGTAGCTGCACAAACAAGCCAGCTTGGTATACTTTAATACATTATATTCAAGTATAGACAGTTAAGGGTTGCAATCACTTCAGTAAACCAGGGCTGAGTAACATACGTTTTAGATGTCCTCATGCTCTGTCTTTTAAAGACAAATTCTAGAACAGTACTAGCAGGACATTTAATTGGAGTCTTTTCTGTGGATTACTTAAACATCTCCAGTTCATAGAATCGTAGAATGGTTTGGGTTGGAAGGGACCTTAAAAACCATACAGTGCAACCCCCCTGCTGTCGGCAGGGATGCCTTCCACTAAATCAGGTTGCTAAAAGCTCCATCCAGCTTGGTCTTGAACGCTTCCAGGGAGGGGGCAGCAAATATCTAGTGATAATGTTTTGTACTCAGTATAATTTCCCAGTCATGTACTGTTAAATTTTTGGTCATGCTCAAAGTTTCCAATTTGTTACTGGGATGCTGTGTCTCATCCTTGGGATAGTGACTTCAGCAAAGGTGCTAAAACTGTAGAAAAGTTTTCAGAAAGCCCAGATCATTCCTATGCTTTTCTGGAAAGTGTGATTTTTAAATATCAGTGTACGTGATTGCCAAAGAGGGTGATTTTATCACTTTGTAGCAATAGGATGCCTAAAGCAATATGGAATGGATTACCTGGAATGCACTTCTGTCCAAGGGTTAGTAAGATTCTGCTGTGGAAAGCTAAAACTAGACTAATTCAGACAGGATTAAGAAAAATAATTTCTGTGGTCGTGACTACTGTGGTCATGTAGTACTGGTACTATCCCTGAAGTACCAGTTACTGAAAGTTACTGAAACTTTGCTGTCCTAGGACAAAAAAGTGAGCTTGATGCTAAAATTACTGAACAGAGTTTTCTAGATTGTTGGGTTACATAAACATAGTCCTTTTCTGGCCTTCAATTTTATTAAAGATACAGTACACTTCTGAAATATTAATGGCACATTTTCTACATGCTATTCTATGAAATCAGAATTTTTGAGAAATTCATTAGTTGTTAACACATAAGGAGAATGAAATTTTTTTTGAAGCATAATGTTAATTGGAATTGCTTTAATCTATGTATGTTAAAAATATTTATTTGGAGTTTTAATATATGCTTATCTTGATCATAGTTGGTCAAACTGTGACACTTAAACAGAGAGCTGGTGAATTTTTCAATCCTATGCTGAATGAGCAACAGAAACTGGCAGTGAAAAGGATACTGAGTGGCGAATGTCGTCCAACCCCTTATGTACTCTTTGGACCACCAGGAACTGGAAAAACAGTAACAGTAATTGAAGCTATTTTACAGGTAATGGTGGGTGACAAATCAGTCATCTCTAATTTTTTTCAGTGTTGGAACACTTACAGTAGTTCTGTAAGTACCATTATATTTTTTTCCCAAGGAGTTCTCAAAATACTCTTTTTAAGACTCTTTTCTATAGCTTCATGAAAGAGGAAAGATCTTCATATGGATTTAACAGAATTCCTGAATGGCTTATTTTCAAGTCTTCTTGGGTTTGACTTTAAAGCTTCAGTGAACAGTACCTAACTTGTGATTCCAGTAGTGTATAATATATTAATGAAGCACAGGTATACATTAATGATAACCGTGAATTAATTCTGCTGTTGATACACTCAGTTTGAGAGTACTTAGTCATGACTGTCAAGACTAGTGTTCTTGAACTGCAAAAGGATGGATTAATTTAACGTGTATGCAAACTCTTCTGGGGTTCTGTATTCAGTGAAATAAAATGGGTATGTTTGAGCTATTGTTACTTCTCTAAATAACCTTTTCTTAATGTCCATCTTCTTTAATGTAGATACATTATACTCTACCAGATAGTCGAATTTTGGTTTGTGCACCATCAAATGCTGCAACAGATCTCATTTGCTTGCGGTTGCATCAAAGCAAGCTGTTAAAACCGGGAGCTATGGTCCGAGTTAATGCTACCTTCAGGTCAGAAGAGGTAAATATTACAGATTTCTGCCTGTTAATATTTCCATTTGAATATTTTGATTTAAAATACTGATTTAGTAATGTAACTGTCAGTGGTTATTAGGTTGGTTAGGCTTGTTTAGGATCCCAGGTACGAACAGGTTACTTCAGCTTTTCCAGGAGATTAACTGGAAAATGTTGATCGTGGTCCTTGATTTGATTGTAAGAGCATGGAATCTTAACCTTTCTTGCAGTGCCTAACTCCACAAGCAGCACATAGAGTATCAGTGGGATTTCTAACGTCGTAACATGCTTTGACTTACAAAGCAGTCTTAAAATCAGTTACTGAAGTCAAGCCTCTGTCTCCAAATTAAGACTACGTACACAGAAAATTAAGCAAGTAGGATTGTAATCTTTATACAGTACACACACATTGTGTGTGCATTTTATATATATGTATATATTTATGTACATATATGTGTGTGTGTATGAAACATCCATATGTTCAATTTAGATCCTTACAATAAAGAAGACACAGATGCCTTGCATATGTCCTACTTTGTTTAGGCAAACTAATGAAGAATTCATTTTGGTGTATGAATGGGTCTAAATCTAAGTGTTTTGCTCTGTTTCTAGAATAGTTTCAGTGGGCTTTCTTTATTCACATTAAAACATTTCGGTTTAGAGCGGCATTTTGTTTTACAAAATACCTTTTTGTTTCTGCAGCAAATTGATGATATGGTGAAACCTTACTGCAGAGTTGGTGATGATATTCGGAAAGCATTGTGGTTCAGGATAATAATTACCACATGCAGCAGTGCAGGAATGCTTTATCAAACAGAAATACGGTAGAGTACTATAGATGGGACTACCGCTGAGATAGCTGGATGCTTTCAGATACCCTCTGTACTGTAACTTGAGCTATCTTAATACAGTTTATTGCATGTGCCTCTATTCTGAAATTGTCTTCTTAGCAAACTACGTGACTTTAGTAATGTTTCAGCAGACTTTCTCAATGGTAAATTTAAGAATTATTGTGAATAATGTTAAACGTTTTTGACCCTTAACTTCTCCTCCACTACCAGTGGGAGCCTTGGAAATGATACTGCTGTTCACAATCATTTTAGCTCAGAATTATTATCACACTAAAAATTATATTCTATTTGGTTTTTTATCAAGTCACCTTTACTAACTTGTAAACAACCACCGTGTCAGGTGCTTTTAGCTAAAGAGTCCTCTGATTTTGCTTTTCAACTTTGTAAAAGGACACTCTGAAGCCTAGCTGGCTTGAGATGTTTGGTAGAAACAAAGCCTGTGGTTTGTCTTTGCTACACCAAGTCCATTGTTCTAATTAAATAGCTGAAGGAAATGGAGAGTAAGGAAAGCTTTTCTAAGTGTCTTAACCTTGGTATAAGCAATGCTTTCATTAAGATAACCAGTACTTGTGTATACTGGGAGTATGTAAGCAAAATCAAAGATTACAAATTAAAGTTACTGGGTTTTTTCTATATTGAGTGTTGAAAATATCCATCTTTGCTCTGTCTGTATGGACTTGCCTGGCACACTTGACAAGGAAGTTATCAGAATTGCTGAGGTCAACCACAGGGTGGCAGAATGAACTAATCTGAAAACAGCCCTGGTTTAGGTTCTTGTTATTTAATTCTAGGCTCGGACACTTCACTCACATGATTCTGGACGAGGCAGGGCAAGCAAGTGAACCAGAGAGCCTGATTCCTATTGGGTTGGTCTCAGAAGCTAATGGCCAGGTAGTTCTCTTAGCATCATTTGCTGAAAGGAAAAAAGTTTTGGTTTACTGTTTTTATTTTTGTGAGCGACGTAGAATGCAAGCAGACGTATCCTGGTAATGACAACGGAATTCTGTGTACTTGTAATGGATCTTACTCATGCACAATATCCATTTCCCACACTTAAACGAGTTGTTTTACATCTAAAACAAGTCTACATTAGTAGGATGGGATTCAGTGTGTGGAAGATGTCAAAATAAAAATATGCTTTCTTAGTTTAAGGCAACAATGTACTTCTGTCCTGGGCCTAATGCTTCTTCACAAACAGATTAGATGTTTGGAGGAAAGCAGAATACTTGATATAAAGTGACCTTTGAATTCTGAAGTTTGTATGTTGTTATTAAAACTAAATTTTTTTAAAAGTGTTTTAATACAAGATGGATATTTTTTTTTCAATTGCATATACAGATAGTTCTTGTTGGAGATCCAAAGCAGTTAGGACCAGTAATAAAATCTAAAATTGCACTGACTTTTGGGTTAAATATATCCTTGCTGGAAAGACTGACATCAAGAGAGATATATCTGAGAGATGAGGATGCTTTTAGTGCCTGTGGAGCATATAATCCTTTGTTGGTGAGTAAAACTACAATTGTAATTAATTTTTTTCATCTAAATCAAAAAAGGAGAAACTGTGGTTCCTGCTGTTTCCTTACCACTGTTTTGTTCCCTGATGCTTAATGAGAAGTCTAGCTTGAGCATTAGTTCTCTCAGAAAGCTTGATTATTTTGAATATATACTCTGAATGGCAAGGATGCTGAGCCTTACAGCGTGTTAAAACCCTTCTTTGAATGGGTTCTCTATTCTTAAGCAGAATAAGTCAAATATGGTGCATAAAGTAGAATTCTAAATAATGGCTTAAAGTCCTCTTTCATCCCCATTGTCCACATTTACTATAACTTAATTTTCCACAAATGACCAAGTATAATTTCTGCTTTTAACATAAAAGGACAAACAAAAGACTCTTCTTGTTTCTTTATCACCTCTTCCTCTGAAGGATAGCTTCCCAAAACTCTTGTATGGTGAAGTACCTAAGGTCTGTTAAGTGGCAGAGGTAGCATAGTACATAAAAGAGCCCAGATGTTTCAGCTGCTTTAAATTATTGTCTGAGTCTGAAACATAGGGCTAAAGTTAAACTTACTAAGATGCCTTCCCATTCTTATGGTAATACACTTTAAAGAATTAAACTGAGAGCAAAAGAGAACTAGATAACCATGTAAGCAGAGGAGGGAGGAAATCTGGTGGCAGACTTAAGGAGGGAAAGTGGGGTTGTTTGGCCCTAGGCTTTAGGTTGGGTTCAACCTACTGAAAAACCTGTCATGCTTCCTCCTAAGATCTGTTACGGCAAACCTTCATTGTTGCGTTCATTATACAATGCTTAAGGAGAATTGGCGTAGTGAGAGAGTAGGAGGTATGAGGGCTTTAAGGATACCACTGGACTTGAGAATCATGTTAGTCTTTTTACAGGACATTTGTTTTTGAACTGGTTATTACTGACTGGAATGCTTCCCTAAGGCCATTGTTTCATTTAAAGACAAATACATTTCTGGTTTCTAAGGCCAGCTTCTATCAGCTGTTCTGGTTCTCCTTTTCTGCCTGTTAAAACTTTCTCAAAAAAAACAGGTTACATCCATGGAAACACCATGAAAAGAATTACTTTCTTAAAAAAAGGTAATGTGTCTATAGATGAAATGTTTTAAGAAACTAGAGAATTACTGATTCAGCTGTCACGTACATTCAGTTCTTATTCTTTTTTTTTTTTTTTTTTTTTTCCTTTGGAGGGGAAAGAAATGGTCCTTCAAAAAAATGCTTTTATTTAGTATTTACCTACAGAAGATCACACCTGCAGTTTTTGCCTTTATTATAGTTCTTCATCAGCTTTAGAAAAGCTAAATGCTAGTGGATGGTAAGGTAGTATGTGCTTGGGAGCTGTGTACTGTGAAGTCTGATGAATAATTACCTGTTTCAGTTATGGATTTTGGGTTTTGTCTTTGCAGATCACAAAACTTGTAAAGAACTACAGGTCACATTCTGCATTGCTTGCCTTGCCATCTAAACTGTTTTATCATAAGGAGCTAGAAGTTTGTGCAGACGCTTCAGTAGTAACTTCTTTGTTGCATTGGAGGAAATTGCCCAGGAAGGGATTTCCATTAATTTTTCATGGAATAAGGGTATGTAAAATGTTCATGTAGTGCAAATATGAATAAGGAGGCCTGACAGAAGTTTGCTGATGTTGTAGATGAGTTTTATTTAGAATGAATTCTAGAAAGAATATGAACAAAGAATAAACTTTATTTTGCAAGTAATGTGACTTCATGACCATCTGGTTTTAGAAACAATTACTGAAGTCAAATGTTTGCCAAGAACTTGAGCAGCTGCCCATTGAAATGTATTGTGGACACATTCTAATATAAATTTAAATTTGTAGCAGATTGACCAAGATGAAGCTACAGTCAACTGTCTTTAGATTGCTTTTCATGAGTTTGCTACATTAGAATGAATACAAGCCTCTAAAACTAAAGGATTATTAAGGCTTAAGTAGTCAGGGGAAAAAAATGGTACTTTGGAAAAAAGGTTTTTCTTTAGTCTTCCGAGAAGTTAGTAAAAAGTGGTAATATCCACTGCGTGGGGAGGCTTGGCTTTGGACTCTTCTACCTTGCACAAAAGCAAGACACCAATTCGCTAATACATGTTATTCTGAGTTGAGATTTAACTCCTTTGTTGCACGCTTACAGTACCATTGTCATACAAATTCTCCAGCTTAAAATAAACAATATAAAATGTTAGGTGATACTTGTTCATTGGAAAGGGTTTATAGCGAAGAAGAGAAATTATATATAACATTACATCACTTTTTTTTTTCATTTAGGATGTATAAGAATGATCTATTAATAAATACATAGTCACTTCTGCATCATCTTGTTTCCTCTCCCCTAACACAGGGCAGCGAAACACGTGAAGGTCACAGTCCTTCATGGTTTAATCCAGCTGAAGCAGTTCAAGTAATGCGGTACTGTTGCCACCTTGCTAAGAATGAAAACACTGCAGTGTCAGTGACTGATATTGGAGTGATTACACCATACCGTAAACAGGTATAACTGATGCCTAAGAACTTCAGAGTCTCTGTATTTCATCTTGTGGTTTTACATGGCAGCTGTGGTTTGTTAAAGCAGGGAGGCATATCTCAAAACTTTGCTGTTGTGTGTCATATTACACACTGTATTATCAATCATTAATGTTTCCGTTGGAATCTAAACCTAGAGAAAGACAGCAGTAATGGCATTCTACTTTGTTTTAAAAACCAGGAAGTGATTAAGGAGAGGTCTGCTTGCAGTTTTGGAGTCAGAAGCAGATTTTTCAGTTGTTGGGAATAAAGCGTGCAAGTGGAGGCCCCATCCCTGGGAACCTTCAAGACCAGGTTGGACGGGGCTCTGAGCAACCTGATGTAGTTAGCGGTGTCCCTGCTCCTGCAGGGGGTTGGACTAGATGACCTCTAGGGGTCCCTTCCAACCCAAAACATTCTATGATTCTATAACAGCTGGAACAGCATTCTGATTCTGTCACTCTCTGCACTGAGGAGTGGAACAAAAGGGAAATGTAGTGAAGTAGGTGGCATGTCACTTTGTTACACCTTTGAGGAAACTAGAGGAGTTGGGACTTCTTAGCTGTCCCATGGTCAGACTTGAAGGTTCTGCTGCTATTTAAACTTGTAGAGATCGTTGAATGTCAACTTCAAATGCTGTGCTTTATTTTTAAAACTATTTATGTTCGAGCCTGTTAAGTATGTGATGTCTGCTTTCATTTTAAAAAGATTAAATCTCCTTTCATTTCCAGAGGATGCTCTGGACAGTGTGCATATTGTTTTTCTTGGTGTTCACCTCTCCATATTCATGGACTTGCATGTGTGGGTTGGGGGAAACACTGAGGTGTGTGGAAAAGACCAACCCCTTTTGAAGAAATCTCGCTTGCAAATTAGAGCTCTGCCTGTACTGATCCTACTGGTCAGGTGTATGCACCCGCCCTTGTTTACAGTTATTATTTCTTTATCAAACATTTATATGTAGTATTGATGTGACTGAACCTCGTGTACTCCCTAAAACATTTCACGTCATTTAATATGATTATGTCCTTCATCTGCCTATGATGCAAGATACCTGATAGTAATGTCTGCTTCAAGAAAGTCACCTTGTATTGAAGGAACGCTAATTAGAAAGTAGTCACTGACTGTAATCCTCAGCTTAGCCAGGCATGATTTCTTGGTAAATTTCTTGGAGCATTTAAGGTGTAGTCTCCAAGCAGCTTTTAGCAGATGGTAATATACCAATCCTGCACATAGCGGTATGAGACTGCTTGTTCTCTTTCTCTTTTTGGGAGGGTACTTAAGGTCACATCTCACCTCTGTCTTTCACTCTGCGTGATGCAGCTGGCAAGCAAAGGTGGAATCTGCACGGTCTTCTTGAGGGGCGGAGTGAAGCTGCTTGCCCTGCCGCGTCAGTGGTAGGCATGGGTTTGGATATAATGCACGTTGGAAGAAGAGGGGTTATGGTTCTAAGTTGTTCTTCTCATTAAAATCTGGATTATTAAAAATCTGTTGATTTCTGTTTAAATGATGGCATTGAGTACTTCACCTTCTAAGTGGCATAATTGAGATACTTCTCAGGAAAAGTTACTGTTTTATTTTAAAACCATACTAGTGGATGATGGCTAAGCTTGGTGTAGTCATTCCCTTCGACATCTCTGTTAAATCATATACTTGTATATGCAGTATGTTTTCAGTTTTGAAGTAATCCTCTCTCAAATGTAAAAATAAATTCCTTCAAACATTTTTTTTTTTTTGTAGGTGGAAAAAATTAGATATCTTCTGAGAAGTATTGATTTGGCAGACATTAAAGTTGGCACAGTAGAAGAGTTTCAAGGACAGGAGTACATGGTTATCATCTTATCAACAGTACGTAAATTTGTTGTGGTCCTGTGGATAGCTTTGTATGGGTCTAATTCTCTTGTTTCCTATTTGATACAGGGCTTTTAGAAGTTAAAAATTTAAAAGCTACATTTTTGTTAGTCTGTCACAGTATTTGAAAACAGAGCTTATTTTTAAGTGCTTGGAAACAGTACAGCACCTGTGATTTTGAGGTAAACCTTAAACCGATATAGATATTCATGCTGAAGTTATTTTGGAGCTTCATGCAGATACTGTACCTTTCACTTAAGTGTGCATAGGGAGAATGGAAACTGGGTGCATTAAAATACTAGACATAAATATGTAAATCACAGTATTAAAAAGTAATTGCTATTTGACTTATAAAAGCTGATGTAGGTTCTTACATTCTTTTTGACCTTCACTTTGAGAATCACTTAATGGTGTACAGCTGACAACTTCCCAGGCACCAGTGCTGACTGTGCCTAGAAGCTGAGTACTCTTTATCACTTTTTATTTATTTTGCATTGGTAGGAGAGCCCTTGATAGTCTTTCATGATCATCTTGATGGTGCACTTCAAGTGCCATGCTGGTTGTATTATACAGATGTTGGTAAAAGTCTTTTCTAGGTGCTAGCTTTTTGAATCTGAAGCTATCAAATGCCTTGAAGAAAGGAAAAAAAAAAAATAATCCATGCTATATTTCTGCTTCAGCAGAACATTAGTCCCAGGCCATCATTTTAGTAGTACATCACCTCCTTGACTCAGAGTTAATTTTGGTTGACTATATCTATGTAAATATGAAGGTATAGAGGTATAAACTGCATCACTAAAGATTTTTAGATAACCGTGAAAATGCAGAGGTATTTAGTTTCACTCTTTGCAATAAATGGATCTTTCAGAAAAGTGCTGACAAAAGGGAGTGTTCAGGAAATGTGGGAAGATGCACATGTTTGGGAAGGTGTTTGTGGATTTTTGGTGAGCCCATCCCTTGCATTTGACAAAGGGGGAAAGAGAGGGTTATGTCACAGTACTGGGAGGGAGTTGCTTTTATTGTTAGGAAGCTGGCAGCCCTTGTGTCTCTCCTTCCTTTGCAAACTTGATGACCAATGTGCTTCAGCAGATGTCTTCCCCATGCCCCCCCCCCCCAAAATATCTTGGTGCATGTTATCTGCTGGTGACAGACAAAGATGGAATCATAGTTTTCAGGCAGTTGACTGGACTGTGGAAATCCTATCTGTAGTAGCTGAGACATCAGGCTTCAGAAGACTGAGGTTACATGCAGGCACATGCCAGTTCCCTCTCTAAATGCTAGATATTACCCTAGTGCGCGCATCTATCCCTGGTATTTGAATTTGTATGAAAGCCCCATAAAGGGAAAAACTACAGCAGCTTCTTTGTGTCCCACTTTTCTGTCCTTTGTTGTCTTAGGCATGTAAGATTGTTGGCTGGGGCTCTTGACAGGAGACTTTTCTTTGTGCTTCTAAGCAGAAATCAATGCGGAGTCGAGAAGTGTAAGCAGCAGCTGATGAGTCAGCTGAAAGCTACTGAGGCTTTTTGCAGATGGTTTCTTGCTACCAGAATATGTGATACCAATCCTTTACGTTCTGAGACAACATCCATCAAATGCGCGCTGTTGTAGGCACGTTGAACTCGTGGACAGAAGTAAAAATCTGCTGTATCAGTGGAAAAGACAGTTGGGAAACTTTAGAGAAAGGCTTACTTAATACTTTGAACATCAGCAAGTGATACCAGTTCAGTGTACATGATTGTGTTTGAGGGTTTAGACTTTCTTTTGGTGGGCATTGCGAGTCCTACATAGCTGTATTTCTACAGTGTGGAATTCAGTTCAGAATATAAAAAAAGTCTGCATGTGCTTGCTCTTTTCCAAATGGTAACATGGCTTTGGTGCAGTAAGTCTCTAAGTAAAGTAAAAGATTTAAGTGTTTGCAGCATGGAGTTCCCGAGGTGTTTGTGACCCAGGATCCCTCAGGGCTGTTCAGGCATGTACAGTACAGGCAGAGCCTGTGTAAGTCTGAGTAACGGCATGTAAGGCAGACTGGTCAAAGGAAGAGGTGTAGACCAGGAGTATGTAGCTGAAGCTTTGACCAGTACTGGACTGCTTTTAACAGGAGTACATAGGATTTCCAGGAGAAAGGAGGATAAGACAGCTATGTAAACAACCAAAACACCGGAAAGCAGGGTGAATGCGGGGGTGGAGGAAGAGTTCTTTGGAGGTTCTTTTGTGGCTTGGGGGAGGAGTTTGTGGGATTTTCTTGTTTGTGTTTTTCCTGAGGGCAGTGGTGCTGTGCTTGCTTACTTTGTTCTGCGTCATACCACACATAGCTTTTCAATCCAGCATTGTATCCCTGTTAAAGCAGTTCTAGGTATGTACTATGCTCCTATTTATAAGAACTCATTATTTAGATCATGCATGAAAGCTTCCTTTTATCAAAGATGGGTTCAAATATAGATGAAATAGATAGAGGTGAAAATTTAATGAGCAGTAGTTACAGCACACTGAGCCTACTGAAGAAGGCTTGCAGAAAGACACTGAGTTGTCATTCAACTGCAGGAATTAGAATACCAGTAGCTCTAGCATTTCTTCTGCTGAAAAGATAAAATCACTGGGTTTTAGGAAGCAGTTTTGGTATCTTGTGTTTCAGATTACAGGGGATAGTCCTGATGCCAAAATAAAACTAGTGCACCATTCTCTTGAAACTGCTGAAGTTGCATTAGCAGCCTGTTGGAGAATAGACCATCTGTAGGAAAGACAGTGGTGGGAAGTAGTTAGCTTCATAACCCAAATTTCAGCTAACTTGTGCATTCCTGACTGATTGCTGCAGTAAGCAAATATTATGTTAAACTTACACTATGGCTAAGTAAGTTGCTTTCTCATTATTCTATTTCTAAAATCATCCATAATTAATTTTAGGTGCGATCTCACGAAGGATTATTTGGTGATGACAAATACTGTTTGGGCTTTCTCTCTAACCCAAAGAGATTTAATGTAGCAATTACTAGAGCAAAAGCTTTGCTGATCGTTGTGGGAAATCCTCATGTTCTTGTGAAAGTAAGTTTTGGTTTTATCTCTTTGAATTGCATGTGGTGTTTGCCACAGTAAATGAATGAGTTGGGGGCTTAATCTGATGTGAGGGAACATCAGATTATGTTAAGGATTGGTATGCTGTCCTCAGTCTGCATTTGGGAACATCTGAACTCCATAGGTTCCTGTGGACGGACAGTTCAGGTACCCACACAGTAGACTTCCAAGCACAAAGGAAATTGTAATGCTGATCTGTGCATACAGGCTCCTACCTCCTTTTTCTCTCTAGAAGAGGTCAGAACCTCAGTGCTGAAGTTCTCCAGCAGCCCACGAGTCCAGTAAGCATGTTCTGAATAACCTTATGCAATCAGATTCTTCACAAAATGCAGTAGCTTCACTTTTTAAATGGAGGGTGGTAGAAATATCTTAAGGGCAGAAGTCACGAGGCCGGAGCCAGACTCTTTGCAGTGGTGCGACAGGACCAGGGGCAATGGGCACAAACTGAAACATGAGAGGATTCAGTTGAATATGAGGAAAAACTTTACTTTGAGGGTGACGGAGCACTGGAACAGGCTGCCTAGGGGGGCTGTGGAGTCTCCTTCTCTGGAGATATTCAAAGCCCGCCTGGACGATGTCCTGTGTAACATGCTCTAGGAGAACCTGCTTTAGCAGGGGGGTTGGACTAGATGATCTCCCGAGGTCCCCTCCAACCCTTGCGATTCTGTGAAGTGATTGTTCCACTTAATATAACATCCTGCCAGGGAGGAGGTCTCCTTTTGAACCCAGGCATGGTCCTTCCATAGGAATGAGGTCAGCTTTTCTTAATATCTGATGTTGTGCCTGACTTTCTGGATAAGAAGGAAAGCAGTATTCCAGAAATGGTCTGATCAGAAAGTTTAGTCTCCCCACACCTGCATGCAACAAATGTAACTTAGAGCAGCTATAGGTATCTTCCTCCCATGTTACACCATGCTTGTGCTGTTTTTATAGAGTTCTGTTTCTGGAAAAGGTCCTATTAAGTCTCCTGCATCCATGTGCCATGTTGATTTGTTTGCAGATTCACTTCACAGAGCAGCATGGTTTCAATTAAACATTAATCTTCTCTTGTAGGATCCCTGTTTTTGTGCACTGTTAGAATACAGTTTAATGAATAGAGTTTATGTCGGTTGTGACCTGCCTCCGGAGCTGGAATGCCTGCAGAAGTGAGTGCCTGGTCTTCACTTTAACCTTGCTAGATAGGGATCAGTTTGCAGTATTTTTAAAGCTAGTATAATTTGAAAGATTGATTAGAGTACAGCAACCAGTGATATCATAGTAAGATTTGATTTTTGCATTCGTAAGTACTGTAAGCATAATAATTTGTAATGTAACCATATTTTCCTCCACCCCATAAGAACAGTCTGAGCATCAAATATTTAATAAGAGCTGCTGTTGACTTTGGTATTTTGTGTATCCCCAAATGGTGCATTACATATTTGATGACCATAAGGAGGTGGGAGGTGGGGACGGGGAGTGCAGGGGAACTGTTTAAGGTGACTTTACTGCAATTAAAGAAATTTGCTTGAAGAATGGTTTAAACGTGTCCCTTCTAGTAACACAAAATACATTGTTAAATGGGTATTATCTACTAGATGTAGCTCCTTTTTTTTTTTTTTTTTTTTTTTTTTTTTAATCAAAATTGTTGTTCATGGAAAGGTAAGCAAAATTTTTATCTTACTCCCTTTAATTGACAGGTGTGACTAGGTTTTCGGTGTTCAAGATGTATTCAGTCTTCATCTGTTTTGAAACTAAGAATACTTAACAGAAATTCGGTCCTGAGCAAATCCAGCACCTTTTGTCCTCGGGGAAAGGCACATGTTTGGAGAAACTTCCAACTATTTCAGAACAAGATTTTTAATACTTTTTTTTTTTTTTAAGAAGCAAGAAAGTTGGGATTTAACAGTATAAAATAGTAGTGGCAACTTGATTGGCTTTTCTGTTAAAAATGTATGTGACTTTATGCCTCTGCAGGGAACAGTATGCCTGAGTCTATAACAGTATGCCTGAATCCTCCAAGCTTCAGAAGAAAAATATTGATGAACTCTTCCGTTAGCTTTTCCGTATTCTATAATTTTTTTCAGCTTCTCAATTTCCTCAGGCGCTTGTAGTGCCTCTGAAAACTGGACCATCCCAAGAACATATATGTGTCTTGTAATTTTGTTATGGGAGTGTTTACAGCAATATATCCACGATGTGAGCTGGAATGATACATGAATATCTCCACTTGGCTGATGCTGAGTGTCTTAAGTCAAGCATGCTTAAAAATCCTACTTCTAGTTTTCAAGGCCTTTGTATAGACAGCTGAGATCACACAGGACTTTCGTGGTTTTCCACTGCAGTTGAGCTGTCCGGACTGCAAAAAAATTAAAACAATGTTTTGTGTTTCTACAAATGCACTGTAAAATAAAGTATCTTGTTTTATTTTAACAAAATTAAAAGTAACTGATGTGTTAGCAGTATTCCTGCTATCAGCTTCACTGGGCACTGTGCTGTCCCCTCCTTGGTGATTAAGTCTTGCCACACAACACTTCAGGAATAGTTAGACAACTAGCCCCTGTGTTTAGGAACTGCCAGTGCAAGACGACAGCTTTCTGTAACAGACAGAAGTATTTTGGGTAGGACTGTAGGCAACAGAGAAGCAAATGGAGGGGAAAAAAAGATAGCAAGCTTTTCATTTGCTTGTTTACAGTCTACTCATACCACTTCCATTCCTGGTGGTATGGGCTGTACTTCTTTCCTCTGCAATGCACAATATGTAGGTACTGCATCTGGTAAGATGGCAAGCGTGGTAAAACATCTGGGACAACATCAAAGCCAGATACTGCGTAAGGGTGCGGTGTACTGTGACACATAGCGCGGTGAACCCAGAATTACCCCTCACCCAAACTCCAGTCTATGAGTGTATCCAGTCTGAGTCACGGCCGGATTTGAGCAGCACTCCAGACCGTTCAGCCCAGCCTCTCCGGCATGGTATTACGCTGCTTAAATTGCTTTGACTCGTGACAGGCCAGAGTAGATGGTTTGTATTGTTGCAGTATGATGCTGAAAATACCAGCCTCGATGATGCCATCCCAATATTCTACATCAAACTCAGGAAGCTGTTTAGCTAAGAATCTGTCCCAGCTGCTGCCTGTTGAAGACCTCTTGCTTCAGGGTTGTGTGACAAGGTACCGCGTCTCACAAACCGCCGGTCAGACCTACCGCTGCTGAGACTGACTGCCAGCCTTGCCCTTTGTCCGTGTGCCCGTGCTCTCTTCAGAGGGCAGTGAAGAGATCGTAATGGAGATGGATGATGCTTCTTTATTGCAAGACATAATCCAGAACTTCTGATTAGTGTTTCCATGACATCTGCATAGCAAACTAGCAGAGGATTGATTATATTGTGATAACTTAATAGCTACAAGTTAATAATCTTTTTACTGTAATAGTTTGCATGTTGACATCAGTTTCTACAAAGATAAAAAACTACTGGATCTATTTTTGAACATTGTGCCTTTAATACTCAGCAAAAGTCAAATGATAAATGCCTATTAACATACACTGTGTTTATTTTTTCTAGAAGAGTTCTTAGTTGAAAGGGCAAGTACACATTTCTGAGGGAAGAAAAAAAATCTTTCATCCAGCAACTACCTTTGTCAGTGGAGAAACTCACATACTCTTCTCACTGATAACTGTTCTTACTGTAACTCATATCGTCCACAACCAAGAAGGTGGAAGCCTTCTCCCTGAGTTACTAAGAATAGCCTCTGACAGTGTTAATGTGCCTCCAGGGGAGTGTTTGTGCCACGTTGAGATGGCTGCACAAAGCAAGCTTCTTTATGTTGAAGAATGGCGAGAAGGGGGGTGTCTGTTCCTGCTTCTATTGTTACTCATTTAATATTACTTTTTTTTTTTTTTTCCCCAAGCCTTTCAGCTCACCCTGTGTGCTGCTGCTTATTAATGGCTGAGAAGCTGTACTGTGTGATATAAAACAACTTTGTCTTCCTCCTTTTCTTGCAATGTTTCTCATCTCTTTCTGCCTACCCAGCTGCTACTGAAAACCTTGTTTGAAAAGAGACCTACCCATCGGAACTGTACAGGATTAAACAGCTTTTGCAACTTCAGAACAGTTTCTTCTGGCAGCTTGATGTGCAGGCAGAGCTGGTTGTTCCAGAGGTGTAAGCTTCAACATTCCAGTCATCTCTTTCATGAAAGACATATGGCCTGATGAGCTGGGACAAGGAAAAGGGGAGAAAACAGTTTCAATTCTAGCTATTGGTTAAAATCATCTCTCATTTTCACTGTGACAAAAATTTACATAAATTTCTTTGGGGTTATGCAGAAAAAGAGGATCAGCCACTGCATGCAAAAGTAGCAATGAGAGAGGCAGTTTAGAGTCAGTCTTTTTCTTGGAGAGACAGTCAAACTAAGTCTTACTTTGCATGAAAACTGTGTTGCAGTTACTCAGTTCTGTTTACAGGAACACTCTTTTCCCCAAAAAAAAGAAAAAAAAAATAACAACTCTTTGTCATGGCTGTTTTGGATTTATTTATTTATTGCCTTACTAAGAAATTACAAAAGCCAGACCGAGGGCTTCCACCATGTCTGGAGGAGCATGTCAGAGGTACATGAAGTCAGAAAACACAGGAACACTCTTAGGAATTTCTCTCTTTCCTCGCTTCCTTCCAAATATTGCATTAGACATTGTGGGTTTAAGAAAAGCAAGAGACAAAGAAAGAGGGAGTCTGTAAAGCAGACAATTCCTGAGCCATTTAATGTAAGCAGCTAAGAGTTGAAATTAAAAAAACATACCTTCGAAAGACCAGTCAAGCCATCAGAAAACCCCAGAGGTTTCCTTGCCAGAACCAAAGCCTGTAGCCCTCAACTGCACGCTGAACAGGTTCTTCTTGTTTCCTCGCTGTGGTTCAAATGGTAGCGAAGGTCTGAGAAGCACGTCCTGCGCGGCAGGGGTCTCAACCTTACAGCGGTCCCAGCAGCTGCACTGTGTGCCGTGGCAGCAAGACTCCGCAACGGAGGGTCTTTGCATTTTGGAAGAAGTACCTTAACGTATGGGTGGCTGCGTTTAGATCGCAAGTAAGAGAAAAAGTATGCACTTCTAACAGTATTTTAGAATATGAAGGCTTTATTAGAGTGGCAGTCCCTCATATCACTTATTATAGTCTCCTACTGACTATTTTTAATGTTTTTAAGTCCCCCTTGAATCGCTGCTGTTCATCTGTCCACGCTGATGCAGTGTAGGTCAGGTCACACTAAATCTCCGATTGATGCAGGAGTTGCTGAGCAAGTATTTTTATGTTTCATTTGTTACTCCTGCTAGTTCCACGTTTGGTTTTTTTTTTTCATAACAGCTGTTTAACTGTGCTTTAGCTAATAAAAGTAACATCCCTACCAACTACATAGCAACATTTTGAAGATCAAACTGTGGGCCTCTGACGTCATTCGAGTCATAACCAAGTCATACCAGCTCAGCGAGCCTGGCTGGATGCTGCCCAGCGCCATGCCCGAGAGGCTTCACAGGTATGTGTATTTATCCAGACAGTGGGGGGTGGGAGCCCTGTTAATTCTTTCTGTCTTTCATCCTCCTGAAAAATGGTCAGTCTGCACCTGAAAGGAAAAAAAATTGAGGCTGTTTGTTACAACCTGTATTCAACACCTTGCATGACCATGTTTTTTCCATAGGGCCCATTATCCCAGTAAGGACATGAAATCAAAGGGGTGAGAAACAGAATTCAGAGTGTGTAGGCAGCTGCACCCTCTATTTACTGTCTTCTGCAACCTTGATTTGACAATGTTATGAAAGTTTAATGGACTTCTCTCCTTTAAATAAAATAGCTTCAAGGTGTCGAGGAGTATTGTGCTGCACATTTTGGAGCTCAGATACCAGAATAGCAAGTATTCTAAATAAGAAACAGACTCTTTTAAAAGGCAATGGTTTTTTTGCAACTAACAAAAGAGAACATCAGCATTCATTTGTGGATACAGAAACAGTTCATTTGTCTGAGTTTTACCAGGCTTGTTAAAATTTACATACTCTGATTATTTAAACAATTGGCACTTTTTTTTTTAATTTTAATAGTAATGGTAAGAAAAATGCAATACGCCTGTAAGCTATGGAGAAGGGTGTTTTTTCCAGCACATGGTGAAGAGTGGGAGTGTAAAATCATCCT